TTCTATCTGACCTCCGTCCTCCCCTTCAGTCTTCTATCTGACCTCCGTCCTCCCCTTCAGTCTTCTATCTGACCTCCGTCCTCCCCTTCAGTCTTCTATCTGACCTCCGTCCTCCCCTTCAGTCTTCTATCTGACCTCCGTCCTCCCCTTCAGTCTTCTATCTGACCTCCGTCCTCCCCTTCAGTCTTCTATCTGACCTCCGTCCTCCCCTTCAGTCTTCTATCTGACCTCCGTCCTCCCCTTCAGTCTTCTATCTGACCTCCGTCCTCCCCTTCAGTCTTCTATCTGACCTCCGTCCTCCCCTTCAGTCTTCTATCTGACCTCCGTCCTCCCCTTCAGTCTTCTATCTGACCTCCGTCCTCCCCTTCAGTCTTCTATCTGACCTCCGTCCTCCCCTTCAGTCTTCTATCTGACCTCCGTCCTCCCCTTCAGTCTTCTATCTGACCTCCGTCCTCCCCTTCAGTCTTCTATCTGACCTCCGTCCTCCCCTTCAGTCTTCTATCTGACCTCCGTCCTCCCCTTCAGTCTTCTATCTGACCTCCGTCCTCCCCTTCAGTCTTCTATCTGACCTCCGTCCTCCCCTTCAGTCTTCTATCTGACCTCCGTCCTCCCCTTCAGTCTTCTATCTGACCTCCGTCCTCCCCTTCAGTCTTCTATCTGACCTCCGTCCTCCCCTTCAGTCTTCTATCTGACCTCCGTCCTCCCCTTCAGTCTTCTATCTGACCTCCGTCCTCCCCTTCAGTCTTCTATCTGACCTCCGTCCTCCCCTTCAGTCTTCTATCTGACCTCCGTCCTCCCCTTCAGTCTTCTATCTGACCTCCGTCCTCCCCTTCAGTCTTCTATCTGACCTCCGTCCTCCCCTTCAGTCTTCTATCTGACCTCCGTCCTCCCCTTCAGTCTTCTATCTGACCTCCGTCCTCCCCTTCAGTCTTCTATCTGACCTCCGTCCTCCCCTTCAGTCTTCTATCTGACCTCCGTCCTCCCCTTCAGTCTTCTATCTGACCTCCGTCCTCCCCTTCAGTCTTCTATCTGACCTCCGTCCTCCCCTTCAGTCTTCTATCTGACCTCCGTCCTCCCCTTCAGTCTTCTATCTGACCTCCGTCCTCCCCTTCAGTCTTCTATCTGACCTCCGTCCTCCCCTTCAGTCTTCTATCTGACCTCCGTCCTCCCCTTCAGTCTTCTATCTGACCTCCGTCCTCCCCTTCAGTCTTCTATCTGACCTCCGTCCTCCCCTTCAGTCTTCTATCTGACCTCCGTCCTCCCCTTCAGTCTTCTATCTGACCTCCGTCCTCCCCTTCAGTCTTCTATCTGACCTCCGTCCTCCCCTTCAGTCTTCTATCTGACCTCCGTCCTCCCCTTCAGTCTTCTATCTGACCTCCGTCCTCCCCTTCAGTCTTCTATCTGACCTCCGTCCTCCCCTTCAGTCTTCTATCTGACCTCCGTCCTCCCCTTCAGTCTTCTATCTGACCTCCGTCCTCCCCTTCAGTCTTCTATCTGACCTCCGTCCTCCCCTTCAGTCTTCTATCTGACCTCCGTCCTCCCCTTCAGTCTTCTATCTGACCTCCGTCCTCCCCTTCAGTCTTCTATCTGACCTCCGTCCTCCCCTTCAGTCTTCTATCTGACCTCCGTCCTCCCCTTCAGTCTTCTATCTGACCTCCGTCCTCCCCTTCAGTCTTCTATCTGACCTCCGTCCTCCCCTTCAGTCTTCTATCTGACCTCCGTCCTCCCCTTCAGTCTTCTATCTGACCTCCGTCCTCCCCTTCAGTCTTCTATCTGACCTCCGTCCTCCCCTTCAGTCTTCTATCTGACCTCCGTCCTCCCCTTCAGTCTTCTATCTGACCTCCGTCCTCCCCTTCAGTCTTCTATCTGACCTCCGTCCTCCCCTTCAGTCTTCTATCTGACCTCCGTCCTCCCCTTCAGTCTTCTATCTGACCTCCGTCCTCCCCTTCAGTCTTCTATCTGACCTCCGTCCTCCCCTTCAGTCTTCTATCTGACCTCCGTCCTCCCCTTCAGTCTTCTATCTGACCTCCGTCCTCCCCTTCAGTCTTCTATCTGACCTCCGTCCTCCCCTTCAGTCTTCTATCTGACCTCCGTCCTCCCCTTCAGTCTTCTATCTGACCTCCGTCCTCCCCTTCAGTCTTCTATCTGACCTCCGTCCTCCCCTTCAGTCTTCTATCTGACCTCCGTCCTCCCCTTCAGTCTTCTATCTGACCTCCGTCCTCCCCTTCAGTCTTCTATCTGACCTCCGTCCTCCCCTTCAGTCTTCTATCTGACCTCCGTCCTCCCCTTCAGTCTTCTATCTGACCTCCGTCCTCCCCTTCAGTCTTCTATCTGACCTCCGTCCTCCCCTTCAGTCTTCTATCTGACCTCCGTCCTCCCCTTCAGTCTTCTATCTGACCTCCGTCCTCCCCTTCAGTCTTCTATCTGACCTCCGTCCTCCCCTTCAGTCTTCTATCTGACCTCCGTCCTCCCCTTCAGTCTTCTATCTGACCTCCGTCCTCCCCTTCAGTCTTCTATCTGACCTCCGTCCTCCCCTTCAGTCTTCTATCTGACCTCCGTCCTCCCCTTCAGTCTTCTATCTGACCTCCGTCCTCCCCTTCAGTCTTCTATCTGACCTCCGTCCTCCCCTTCAGTCTTCTATCTGACCTCCGTCCTCCCCTTCAGTCTTCTATCTGACCTCCGTCCTCCCCTTCAGTCTTCTATCTGACCTCCGTCCTCCCCTTCAGTCTTCTATCTGACCTCCGTCCTCCCCTTCAGTCTTCTATCTGACCTCCGTCCTCCCCTTCAGTCTTCTATCTGACCTCCGTCCTCCCCTTCAGTCTTCTATCTGACCTCCGTCCTCCCCTTCAGTCTTCTATCTGACCTCCGTCCTCCCCTTCAGTCTTCTATCTGACCTCCGTCCTCCCCTTCAGTCTTCTATCTGACCTCCGTCCTCCCCTTCAGTCTTCTATCTGACCTCCGTCCTCCCCTTCAGTCTTCTATCTGACCTCCGTCCTCCCCTTCAGTCTTCTATCTGACCTCCGTCCTCCCCTTCAGTCTTCTATCTGACCTCCGTCCTCCCCTTCAGTCTTCTATCTGACCTCCGTCCTCCCCTTCAGTCTTCTATCTGACCTCCGTCCTCCCCTTCAGTCTTCTATCTGACCTCCGTCCTCCCCTTCAGTCTTCTATCTGACCTCCGTCCTCCCCTTCAGTCTTCTATCTGACCTCCGTCCTCCCCTTCAGTCTTCTATCTGACCTCCGTCCTCCCCTTCAGTCTTCTATCTGACCTCCGTCCTCCCCTTCAGTCTTCTATCTGACCTCCGTCCTCCCCTTCAGTCTTCTATCTGACCTCCGTCCTCCCCTTCAGTCTTCTATCTGACCTCCGTCCTCCCCTTCAGTCTTCTATCTGACCTCCGTCCTCCCCTTCAGTCTTCTATCTGACCTCCGTCCTCCCCTTCAGTCTTCTATCTGACCTCCGTCCTCCCCTTCAGTCTTCTATCTGACCTCCGTCCTCCCCTTCAGTCTTCTATCTGACCTCCGTCCTCCCCTTCAGTCTTCTATCTGACCTCCGTCCTCCCCTTCAGTCTTCTATCTGACCTCCGTCCTCCCCTTCAGTCTTCTATCTGACCTCCGTCCTCCCCTTCAGTCTTCTATCTGACCTCCGTCCTCCCCTTCAGTCTTCTATCTGACCTCCGTCCTCCCCTTCAGTCTTCTATCTGACCTCCGTCCTCCCCTTCAGTCTTCTATCTGACCTCCGTCCTCCCCTTCAGTCTTCTATCTGACCTCCGTCCTCCCCTTCAGTCTTCTATCTGACCTCCGTCCTCCCCTTCAGTCTTCTATCTGACCTCCGTCCTCCCCTTCAGTCTTCTATCTGACCTCCGTCCTCCCCTTCAGTCTTCTATCTGACCTCCGTCCTCCCCTTCAGTCTTCTATCTGACCTCCGTCCTCCCCTTCAGTCTTCTATCTGACCTCCGTCCTCCCCTTCAGTCTTCTATCTGACCTCCGTCCTCCCCTTCAGTCTTCTATCTGACCTCCGTCCTCCCCTTCAGTCTTCTATCTGACCTCCGTCCTCCCCTTCAGTCTTCTATCTGACCTCCGTCCTCCCCTTCAGTCTTCTATCTGACCTCCGTCCTCCCCTTCAGTCTTCTATCTGACCTCCGTCCTCCCCTTCAGTCTTCTATCTGACCTCCGTCCTCCCCTTCAGTCTTCTATCTGACCTCCGTCCTCCCCTTCAGTCTTCTATCTGACCTCCGTCCTCCCCTTCAGTCTTCTATCTGACCTCCGTCCTCCCCTTCAGTCTTCTATCTGACCTCCGTCCTCCCCTTCAGTCTTCTATCTGACCTCCGTCCTCCCCTTCAGTCTTCTATCTGACCTCCGTCCTCCCCTTCAGTCTTCTATCTGACCTCCGTCCTCCCCTTCAGTCCTCTATCTGACCTCCGTCCTCCCCTTCAGTCCTCTATCTGACCTCCGTCCTCCCCTTCAGTCCTCTATCTGACCTCCATCCTCCCCTTCAGTCCTCTAGCTGACCTCCGTCCTCCCCTTCAGTCCTCTATCTGACCTCCGTCCTCCCCTTCAGTCCTCTATCTGACCTCCGTCCTCCCCTTCAGTCTTCTATCTGACCTCCGTCCTCCCCTCCAGTCTTCTATCTGACCTCCGTCCTTCCCTTCAGTCTTACACAGTTGCTAGTGACAACTCTTCCCGTTGACAATTCTTCCCAATGTCAACCTTTCCTAGTGACAACGCTCCCCATTAACAATTCTCCTTAGTGACCACTCTACCTATTGACAATTCTTCCCAGTGACAACCCTTTATAGTGACAACCCTCCCTAGTCACATTCTCCCCAGTGATTACCATGCTCAGTGACAACTCTTTCTAGTGACAACCCTCTCCAGGCCCTCCCACCCTCAGGACCACCTCATTTGCCTAAAGTAGGCTAAGCCCCGCCTACTTCTGAGAGACGCAGACTCCTGGCAGAGCGGCGGCCTCGCTGCACTGGCGTGACGTCATGAGAGCGCGCCGAGCACCGACCAGGAAGTGAGTGTGAAGGAGAAGGGGCGCTGGGTGACTGCCGAATTCCAGTGGTGTGTGCCAAGGGAGGCTATGTCCTTTAAATGAGCTTCCTTCGTCCCCAGCAGCCATATTGAGACCATGGTGAAGGGAAGGGAAGGGGGCGGGGAGGGTCCCTTGGCTGGTCAAGCATGAGCAATACGTTTTGTTTCCAGCCTGCTGGCGGTCACACATTGCATATAACACACACATGAACTTCTGACAATGTTTTCATTGCTGTCCCAGTAAAAGCTTCACCCTCTTATTAGGTGATGTCACAAGGACAGGAAGTGAGGGGACATCTCCCCACCATAGTTCATGTCTAGCAACATTGACAAGGAAAATGTAAATTCTGATTTGTTATCGATTTTCTTATAGGTGAAATGTAGTGTGCTGTGGTCATGTGACACAACATTGTGCGACAACTTAGAGCTCACCAATGTGTCCCCGGGAATGATGTGTCATTATTGATGTATATAATGTGTATTTCCAAACTATAAAGAGGATTCGGGATTACCACCTTGTACCCCCCCCCCCC